TGTTTAATGAAATTTTTATTTTCGGTTAATCTTTTAAATTTTTTTTCAGGGATTTCCAATCAATTTATGGAAGTCCGAACTGATGAACTGTATATAAGTTCAGGAAGGAAGAGAAAAATGATTTCATTGAAACAAAACTGTGCAAATAGACCATCAGAGGTCGGCATAACTGTTCGTCAATTAAATATTACGTGAAGGTGTATTATTCATAAAAATGATTGAACGCAAAATATTTGATTCAATGGGGATGTACGTGTATATTAAAAAATATTCACTTCGTAAGTGAGTGAATAAATATACTTTTGTTTCATAAATTAATTTCATCAAATGAAACAATTTTTCTTTGTAGAAAAACCGAATGTGGAAAAATAAGATATCCTGATCAATGTTTACAATTTTCTATATATCGTATTTTGTTATCAACAATTTTCAAATAAACATCTACTCCATATGACAATTTTATCTGTTATCTTGATTTGGAATAATAACTTATTTGTGAAATAACAAATAACAAATCAGTAAATAATGAGATGATTACCTACTAATAATTCTCATCTCGTGCAAGTTCTGACATTGGAGAATGTACTAGAATATTTAAGGCACCTTGAATTTTCGCAGCTAGCGGACAATCCGTAGGACTCAGAAAATTATTCCTCTCACTGTGACCATAACTTCAATAAAATAAGTAATTTTTTTTTATCTTAAACGGTTTTATATGATGTAGATAGTGTAGTAAAAACTGAAATTCGGTAGGCCCTAGTGGCAGTCATCATACCACTCTCCTCAGCAATCTACGGTATTGATCAGATGAAAAAATAATAAATGCGTTGGGCGTAGCGAAAAACCTTTTAAAAATACTGAAAATTTTATTTTATGAGTTCCAAGTATCATCGCTCAAGAGATTGAGATGAAATTATTCGTGATAAAAATTGCTGTTCTACGAATAAAAGAACAGCGATACTGAACAGATTTTCCCTACAAAAATTAGAAACACTTTCAATTACCTTAATTTTTGTTCCATTCTCCAGCTGAACAGTAATTTTCTCTGTGGGCATGTGTACGAATTGATGGACATATTTGATATCACCTTTAACTTCCTTCGATGACTCGCTCTTGATCAGTTCCTGTAAAATCACTTGAAAATTAGGATGATACAATTCACTATTCCATGAAAGTACTACTGGTATTCAGAGAATCGATTTTATTGACCAATCATTGGTCATTGAATTTTAAACAAAAGTAGAAGAAGATGTATAGGTATTCCTCTTTCTAATTGATGGACAATTATATGTGATGGAATTGGCCAAAACTTTAGTAAAATCCATGAATTACTCAAGAAACAATTCATCATGAGATTTTCACTGAAAGGTGTACAAATCTGCAACAGGTGTTCCGCTATATAATAGGTTACAGTATAGAAACCACGTGTTGAAGCAATTTTATAGCAAAACAGGTGTTGATCTTCTGTTAACTTTCCAAAGAAAATCTCAATATGATTGCCACCATTTTGAGTATTTTTCGAATATGTTATTTTATACATGAATGCAAAACGATATGATACGTGAAAATATTCGTATTGTTCCACTGTTGTACAGCTATACCGACATTCGAAAAGGTAAATAAGTAACATCCCAGAAATAACCTCCTAAACTAACGGGAGATTGTAAAATAAACTGAGAGAAAAAACATGCATCACAACCTCATCATACTAAAAATAACATAAAATAGTATGAGGGAATAGCAACAACATTTCTTTCTTCAGATGGTAATATTGAAATACTTCCAGCTGATGAAGTGAATGCCAATGGATACTATCGATTATGAAAATGAATTATCTCGATTGTTTTCGAGTACAACATATCAAAATAATATATCAAAAAACGTTCACAGGAAGGTGAAGAATCATTTAACAGAATCAGTTGAACAGAAAATGTATGGAATATCAGCTGCATATAAAAATATCCTAACCAAAACAGAAGGCACTCAACCGATTTGTCATTTCAATAAATCTTTACATTTTTAAGGATCGCCCAAATTATTCAAACCAAATGTCTCTCCGATACCCACTGCAATTTCAATTGGATTATCTTTTCAAAAATTTGCAAGATACCTTTCGGGAATTCTGAAACTGATATCAGGGAATGGAAACAGTTTTCTAAGAAATGCCACCTATTTCATAATTAAATTATGGTGTTCCGGAGAGCTTCGAACTTCAAAGTCTTTTCACGTATGTACCTATTGATAAAACTTCCTAAATTGTAAGATCCACTTGGAAATTGAATCAACTTCGAATGGAAGATGGATGTTGAATTTCACTTCAAATGTTGATATTTAATATATTAGTTTACTTTTTCAATTTACATCCTGTATTCGATGTAACAAATCCATTGACATAACCAAGTTGTAGTTTTAACAAAATGATAATTGAACAGTGATAAAAAATTAAAATTTTTTGAAAATTAATAATCGACTTCGAGCTCAGATATAATAAGGCACAATCCTAGGTAAGGTACAACATATGGCCCTTATCGTCATGAAGTACTAGTACTATGGATTAAGAATTATCAGAATTGAAAGTAATTTTGATGAAATGCCAAACAAATGGAAATGGGAATGGAGCTATAGGAACCAAAAGTAAAAGCAGTCAAAAACCTTGCATTCAAAAAACAGAAATAGAAAATGCATAGAACACTTCCAGACAAAGCATCGACTATTATTATTGATTGATCAAGAATTCGCTGACTATTTGAATCTTTCTGGACATTCAATGTCTCTATATCTGCAATAGGCACTTGAAATGTTGATATTTGATGTATCAGTTGAATTGTTCTATCAACATTCTGTATTCAATGTAACATATCCATTGACATAACCAAGTTATCGTTGAAAACAAATGAGATTTTGAGAGTGACAGAAAATGAAGAATTTTTGAAAAAAAAAAATTGAATTTTTTTCGAGCTCAGATATGATCGAAGTTCAAAGTTGCTGTATAGACAATACACAAACTTTAATGGAAACAGCTATGAATCTGGCGTTATTGATCCATGCGTCTCTGATCACTATGCGCAATTTATAAATATGAATAATATCAAGCAGGTGACAAATGTCCCTCAATTCAGAAGAAGTATAAAATCTTCTGGTATTCTCGAACGACAAACTTCGTTACAAAAGTTAATTGGAGCATATTCAACGACAATATCTCTTCTGAAGTTATGGTAGATTTTCTATTGAATCTTTATGTAAGTCTAGTCCATAAATTATTTCCCCTTAAAAAAGTCTTCAGTGAGTCCAACAGAACCCTTGTTAGCTGGTTCAACGATGACTTAAGGAAAATGAGAGATACAACTCATTCCATAAAAACAATCTATGACGTGACTAACGATCGTAATCATAGACAAGTTTTCAAATATGTTAACAATGTATATCATAAAGTTATTTTGGAATCGAAAAGGTCTGCTTTTGATAAATTCATCAGTCACTCAGATAATAAAGTCAGAGATAAATGGAAACTCATCAACTTTGAAAAAAATAAAACTAACTCTCGTAAAACCTGTGGTGATATCACACCTCGTGAATTTAATACGTTTCTTAACACTATAGCTGAAACTATAATCAATCAATTTTCGTCTGCCCATCATCTGAAACCTGCTTCAGCAGCATATTTCTTCTTTAAACTGGTGGCCACCTCTGAAGTCTTCAATGCCATCAATAAGTTAAAAAATTCCAGTTGCTTTGATGTCTATAATAAAAACCGAGTTCTTTCTCGATTGAACCACTCACATGCCTTTCCAATGTAGTATGTATAAGAGAGGATATGGCTTTAGAAAATCTTGTTCTACTATACAAGATATTGTTCATGTGGTCAAGAGCATAGTAGGTGGTTTTGAACAAAAACAGCATAGCTCGGCAAGATTGTGCTATTTGAGCAAAGCATTTGACTGTGTCTCTCACCACAATGTACTAATGAAACTGAATGAATACAGAATCAGAGGAGTTGCACTTTCTTTATTTACCGTCTACTTGTTCTTGTCGAAAACAATGCGTTGATCTTGGTGAAAATAGAACGTCGGATCTTTTTACCAATAGAATCTGGAGTACCACAGGGTTTCGTTTTGGGACCTCTGTTGTTCATCATTTACATAAATGACTTCTTCTTCCACTTATCACCATATATATGCGTAATCTATGCCGATGATACAAATCTTCTGTGTACTAACCAAAACTGTGAGAACTTGCTCGCCACAATGAAAACTGTGGTAAATCAGACTGAGAAATGGTTCCATGCTAACCTTTCAAAACTGAATATAGACGAAACTCAAACTATCACATTCTCTACAAATAATAATATAGCGAAACGTGAAACTGCCAAACTACTAGGCATCACCCTAGAGGATACTCTGAATTAGGCTCGAAACTCTCTGAATGTCTATTTCTACTCAGGCAATTGAAGAATTTTGTCAACTTGTACACTCTTATATCAGCGTAGTATGCATTTTTTCATTCCCATGTTAGCTACGGAACTTTACTTTGGGGAAATTTCCCCAATGCTGAGAAAATATTCTTACTACAAAGGCGAGCTAAACATAATGACAGTACCCTGTATCTGTATCTATTGGAAATATGTATCTATTGGAAATTCATAACTACAAAAATGAACATTTGATCAATTCACAGGTTCATGAACATAACACTAGAGGTGCCAATCTCTTAAGACAACGCAGGCTGAAACTACACAAATCCTCGATCAATACACACAATGTTAATATTTATAATATATTTCCACCCACTGTTAAAGATATACCTATATTCAGTTTCAAGAGGTTTCCCAAAAATTTCTTGACAACTCATTGTTTTCATAGTGTCAACGAGTACCTGGCTTCACCAACTCACTTGTTTGAATCTGAATCATTTTAATTGTGGCCCTTAATTACCATATATTTTTTTTATTTTGATAACCATATCATTTACATCATGTTTGTATGTCCCATATTCATTTGCGTCACCTATGGTGATAGTTGTGTTTTTTTTAATTTCAACATAACACTAGAGGTGCCAATCTCTTAAGACAACGCAGGCTGAAACTATACAAATCCTCGATCAATACACACAATGTTAATATTTATAATATATTTCCACCCACTGTTGAAGATATACCTATATTCAGTTTCAAGAGGTTTCCCAAAAATTTCTTAACAACTCATTTTTTTTATAGTGTCAACGAGTACCTGGCTACACCAACTCACTTGTTTGAATCTGAATCATTTCAATTGTGGCCCTTAATTACCATATATTTTTTTTATTTTGATAACCATATCATTTACATCATGTTTGTGTATTCATTCGCGTCACCTATGGTGATAGTTGTGTTTTTTTTAATTTCAGTTGTAACCTATTTGGAATGTTTGTTGTTGGTTGTTCATAAGTTTGTATGGCTCAAACGTTATTGTTTTGAGTTGCTAAAAATGTATTTTGTTTTCACATAACGTGGTTGAATAAACTATCTATATCTCTATCTATCTATTGACGGAATCAAATTTGAATACATTTTGAAATCAGACGATTAATATCGAGTTGAAAGAAGGATGAATGCCATTGAACCCCACTCTAAGAGACGATAGCTCAAAGAATCAGCGTATATCCCTTCATCGGAAGATGGGTATATTCCAAAAAACATTTCGGGAATGGACCGTATTTGGCTACCCATATTGAAGAAAGCTATGAATAATGGCTAAAATGTAACAGACTGATATCAGAAAACACCTTGTACTACACCGAATATTTCTGAAGTCGATCAACAACAAAGACAACAATCTCACATTCCAAAATTTGTTCGACATCTGTCAGGGACATTTGAGAATCGAGCGATTAAGAGAAATAATCGAATATATAAATAGGTTTCTTTCAATTCTGAAGACGGAATCAGATTTTTGCCTCCGAAAAGTTCCGATGCGTACCTCTGAAATTTTTCTTTTTTTTGATGGGCAAAATCATTGAATACAGCAGGTTACCAATGAATAAAATATTTTTATTTGTTGAAGTACTTTGAATGCACGCAGTAACTCATAAGTAGTACTTATAATCGTTTGCCCTTTCTTCACCTACATAAAGTTCTGCAATATGAATTTTTTCAAAATGATAAAAGGTAAAAATACTAAAAAAATGTTGAAAAACTTCAATTATCCCCACAAAATAATGACTTCCGTTCAATAAATCTAAAATTTTCGAAAAGTCGTCTACATCAAGTAATCCTTATTCATTTTTTTTGACTTGGTCATAACCAAATTTTCCTTAATTATTCAAGAAGCAAAGCATATGTGTTAAAAATTGAATCAGAGTCAGAAAACTCATTTTAAATTCGTGCTCATCTGAGATCACATATTAATTTTGTATTCGAACCAAACATTATCTGCTTGTTGCTGTTACCCTGATAAGTTACTGTGTGAATTCAGAGTATTTTTCACAATAGAAAATGTTCTATATCTCAGTAACTTGTATTCAATAATTTGTTTGCTAAAAAAAGAACTAAGAGATCATACAGATACCTATCTTAACGTTCCAAAAGCTGAAATCTGCCCCCGTCTTCAGAATTGGAAAAAATTCAAGGATATTTGCCGATGTTCATTCGCTGATACACTTTGTTCCTAAACTCCCACAACATATATAACAGAAGTTTTTTTGATACTTTCCACGTTTCTTTTCCTTCAGGTGAAATTAAATAATACAAGTTACTGGCAAATAGAATATTTTTCTTATTAAAAATACTCTGAATCCACGCTTACTTGCTATACTTATCGAGGTGAACTTAAATGTTTGTCCTTTCTACAAATATGAAGCTCTTCATCACAGTTTTCATGTTTCTTGAGATGTGAAAATTGAAAATATCAAAAAAAGTGTATGAAAACTCTGATTTCCTTCACAAAAATCACTTTGATTTTATGATAAATCCATATTTCAACAAACCTCAGCTTTTTTGAATAATTTATTTGCTATAATCTTCGTACTCTCTTCCATATCTTTGCCTGGGCCAAATGCTATGCAGTATTTTGCTGTATTATTACAAGTGCTTGTAATGCCATCGCAAGGTTCCCCTGTATTGATACATTTTGGTCCATTTGTATTGGGTGAAACATCTCCCAAGTTGGTCGACGCGAAAGCTCCAACAAATCCACTCTGAAATCAAATACCATATATCAAATTGGTTTTGAACAAAGTCCTATTGGCATCGTAAATTTAAGAATTGAAATTGAAATTAAAATCAAGTATAGTGGTGCCTGTTCCTAAAGTCTTAAATTCTGTAAATGGACATTGTTTCAGACCCATAAACACTTTTCTCCCATTGCGGAAAATTATTGAAACAATTGCTACAATATTGTTCTACAAATAAGCTCCTTCTTGGCAACCAATCAGGCTTTCCTGAAAATAATTTCTGCGAAACATATCTACAGGTTACAGTGTCTAAATGGAGACAATTATTCGATGATGATAAATATATAGTGGCAATATTCTTAAATTTCAAACGGGCCTTTGAAACTATAGACAGACATATATTAATGGAAAAAATTTAATATTATGGCCTGAAAGGCACTAATTTGAAGTGGTTTGAAGCATACTTGAGAGCAATAGATTCCAAATAACTAAATATAATAATTCAGTTTCAAACAAGGTCATTATTATTCATCATATATCTCATCATATATGTGGATGATATTAACTATGTGCAGGGCTAAGCTTTTTTGAACCTTCTCGCCAATGACACTCTGATTGCTTGCTATGGAGATAACTTTAATGAAAATGTGAGGAGATTGAATGGAGTTTTGAATGATATTGAAAACATAGGCTATGGTATTGAATAATAGGTTTAAATTGTCAAATATAAATTACAACACAATCAACTTAGTACTTGGAGATGGACGGGTAGAATGGGTACACGAATTCAAGTATTAAGGATGCATAATTGATGAATAAATACATCTACAATAAAATTTCAACAAAAGTTATTTTTTCACAAGAATTTCTGCATAACTTTTTTTATCTACCCGAGCAACTGTATATAAAGTGGTTATCCAGCCACATTTTGATTACTGTTCTTCTAATTTATATCTTTTCCAAAAAAATTAAATCTTAATGTTGCAAAAATTGCAGAGTAGAGGAATCAGAGTAATTTTACATTGCTACAGATACACCCCAATAAAAATAATGCTCGCAGCATTGAAATGGCAATCAGTAGATCAAAGACTGTATTATATGTCCATGTCATTTGTCTTTAAAATCACAAGGGATATGTTTCCTGAAAACTTCAATCAATTTGTTACATACAACAATGAAATCTATAACTATAATACACGTTCCACACATAATTTTCATATGAATAGGACAAAGCTGAAGAGTTCAATGAAATCTATATTTTTTGAATATTTTGATTGAATGAATATAATCAATTACCTGAGAGAAATACAACAATGTATTACGATATATTACTTCAAAACGAAATTGTTATCATACATTCTATCAGATCAGCTTCTGACTGTAGGATGTCACTACTGTTTCATATTATACATAAAGTTCCTCATGTATCAGAAAAAAGGTAATGAATTTGGTGATAGTTAACACGCATGAATTATTATGTTCCGCTGCCACTTTGCTACTTCTGCAACTGCAAGTAATGTGTTCATAGTATTCTCATTTTAGAAGATATGAGTTAGATGCTTCTTCATTCATGATATCCTTACAGTAAAATTGTCAAGAAGTTAACCATGCCTGCTAGCAAAACGTCAGGTAGGTTCACAACGGACTACAATCCGACAGGAGATACTGATATAATAGCTGAATGAAAATAATAATGATAATGATAGCGATAATATTCGTCCCGGAATTTTCAGCTCCCAGTGAGGCGAATATCGTCCAAAAAGAAGTAAAAAAAACGGACGAAATATCAAGAACTCTATCCAGGCCACTTTGTCATGTGGTTGTTCTGATTATTAGTGTCCTTGGTGGAATGATGCCCTCCCTACTCTCGAATATCAAGATCATTCCGGCTTGCTGCACTAATGCAGAAATCTTACGCTAGTTGCACACACACCGATTTTGGACGGCCGACTTTGTACCGGTGGTCCAAATTCCAATAGTGAACCACATGTGGGAACGGGACCTGGCACACACGCCGATCGGTGATTGTCGCCGGTAAAATACCGGTGAGCAGCCGTCCACTGCCACTGTATCGCCGGCAGTACCGTGAAGTAGTGGCGTACATGACTAAATACACTCTTGCATACTCAACGGTTTTTTACAGACCACTCCAGTATCGAATGCTCGGTGAAATTGTAGTTACTACGCATTAACTTCGTTTTGATATTGCGTGCTAATTACGACAACACAGCAACTGATTATTTGACCGATAAAAATCCGGTGAGTGTGCAAGCACCCGCTACCAATAAAATATCGGCCGACTTTATACTGGCCGTTCAAAATCGGTGTGTGTGCAACTAGCGTTAGCCTGAACGAAACAGAAGGCTGTCATTCTTGGCTTACTACGCTTGCTTAGGGCACATGATTCTAGAACCAATGATAACCTACTCCACAGTCTGGGGAGTGGTCATTGGTTGGTAATGCTGGCGCTCCCTCCTGAATGTATTGGGTGTTCGGGGGATAGGGTTCGACCAGCGCAACTTCAGGTGAAACAATAATAATAATTATAAATTCATTCGAGCGAAAAAAACATGAAATAATATAGGCACGCGTAGTATATAAAATACAGCACTACGAGAAGAATGGAAATGAACAGTCAATAGAATTTTAACATATAAACATCAATTGTAATTAACCTAATTTATTGTGGAAACATTTTTCATAATCGAAGGATGGATGCTGTATTGCCTATGACATGAAAAAATATCGATCGAAATATTTTGAAGTTTTTCAAAGGATAACAATATTTCATTTTTAATGTATCCTAGTAATTTAACCTTTGAGATATTCCATAGTTTATACTTATAAAGGGATACCGAGTTGAGTGTTTCAAATGAGTATGACAAAATTTCAATAATCTCGGCTACAAGATATGAATGACACCACTGCCCTATTGTTTTCAACATACTGTGTAGATCTAGGGAATATTCTTTGGATCTAGTAGAATAGCAATATTTGATGTCTTTGATGATATATTAATTTTTGTGTATAATGCCAAATAATGAACAGATAACTAGTGAATATTTAGTACTTCAGCGTCTTTAAAACAGTTAATCACATTTTCCAGTGATTACCTTCAAAATTCATTTATGCATGGTAGCACCACCATATAACACCACCACATGCTATGATAACATAAATGAAATGAATTTTTATTAACGCATAGTTACTTACCAATACTAGTTACCATACTCAATACTATTTTTTCAATATCTGATTTGAATACCTTGCTCATTTATCACATTATCAATTTGCATATTTCATTTTAGGTGTCAATCAAAATATATTCCTGGAAACTTAACTTCCTTATCTAATCCAATTATCATCGTTCTATTTCCATTTTCAAACAAGATTTTCGTGAATTGAGGTACATTTGATTCGGAGCAGGTGACGGTTGCATAAATGGTTCGTTTCAAATCGATGGTGAGTAGTTTTTCACTTAGGAAATCCACTATTGTAATATTGTTGGATAATATAACCGTGTTACTCTCAAATGAATCCATTTCACCTACAGGTAAGTTGAAAATATCATCAATGTAAATCAATATAACAAAATCTGACCGAGAACTTTTCCTTCTGGAACATCATATTGAACATTTTTCTTACCACTCATTATGTTTTCAATTTCAACACATTTTCGATATTGAGATTTAATCAGGTATAGGTATTGTGAAGTACAAACATTTTCTGTAATTTTTCAACTTTTCATATGCGAAGCCCCGAAAATGTCGGTAAACGAATATTCGAAGTCAAATCAGAATACAATTACAATGAGTTATGAGATAAAAACATTACATATAGAATTAGCTGAAGTAAAAAGATTTAATCTCAAAGATGGAACGGTTAAAAATGTCGAGCTGACAACTTCCTGAATTGCATTTGACACACATGTTATGCAGAGGTGAACGGTTCAGAATATTTTTGTATGTGGTATTGGCCGATAAAAAAGATTAACCACTCTATAGGATGGTCTAGGTACATTGAAAATAAGTTTTTGCAGAATATGTTGGTAAATCATTAAATTATATTATTAATCAGTTTTAAAAGAAAAATTGTGGAGTGACAATCACGACGGCAACACAAGCTATTCATAGCATGTCTAGCTAACAATTTATCATGTGGAAATCCTATTGGTGGATAGATATTGTCTGATCTATTGGAGAGAAGTTTAAGGAAACGACGTTGTACTGATTCAACTTTCTCTATATACAACTGATGAGATGGATTCCAGATTACAGACGCATATTCTAATTTTGATCTGACGAAAGCATGTATCAGGTTTTTGATGTAGATGGATCCGACAAAACTCTGGAGGTTCATGCAATGAATCCATACATTCTGTTTGCAGCAGACAGAGTGGTTACAATGTGTGGTACGAAAGAAAGTTTTGTATTTCATCAGTTTAGACTTCCATTGTAGGTATATTATAATATAAATTAATTTGAAATCCCTGAAAGAATATATAAATATTAAAAAGATTAACCAAAAAATAACAATTTTATTAAACAGACAACTGGAATTACAAAGAAATAACATCCAAGCAACAACAAGAATAATTAAAAATTGAAATATTGATACAAACTGAAAATTAAAAAATTGCAAAATATTATTGAGAAAAAATTAAAAAATAAAAATTGAAAGATTCCAAACCAAGTTACGTCACGACGTTTCGATTGTTAGTATCCACAGTCGTTTTCGGGTGATAATTGAACTTATTCATTCGAAATCTGACTGTTTATAGGTCATTCGAGTGCTTTCACCTATCCCCTCTTCCCTCTCTCCGCTTCATTGGTTTTAGCGGGAGATGACCGTTTGGCGGGAGTTGGTCGTTTTTCGCTTGATTAGCGTACGTTACGTATCTCTACGCTAGCTTGACTAAATGCGTTGTTGGACAACATATATGCGGCTTCTTTGAATTTTCATCCTCTTTGTGGATGATTTCAGCTTGAGCCCACTTGATGTTATGTTGATGAGTCCAAACATGC